CAGCCGAATGGAACGCGTCTCTCTGGATATGCGCGCGCTTTGCACGTGTGCAGCAGAACTGAAGAGACGCTGCGCGAGATGAGGCTTGTGCGTGCGCTTCAGGTGTGAGTCAGACAGCAAGACGAGCCGGCAAAGAGTTGTTTTCTGCAACTTATTGCACTTAACTCTTTTTAACGTCAAGCAATTCTCTGCTATATGCGTCGAACTAAAACTTTGACCTTTTGCAACGTTTTGATTTAAGTAGCCTATTATTAAACTGATTCAGATATCGCACGTCCTTGCCAAATAAACTGCTCTCAAAAAAATAAAAGACTACTTGCATCCTGTTGCTTTAGTTTACTTTATCTCTATTGTACAAAAAAGCAAAGTCCCAAACAAGAATACCATAATCTACACAGATACAGGCACTAAATTTTTCATAGCCTAATTCCATAGAAGTTTGTGGATTAACATTTGATTAAATAAAATTCTTTTTTTTTTAAAATAAATCTGAATAATTGCAGAAAGAATCTATAGATTGAATATCAAAATAAATGCTAGTTATTACTGAACACAATAAAACGAATACTGAGGGACCTGAATTACTTCTAAACACAGAAAATATATTAAATGCTCCTGTTTTAATTGATCGAGCCCTAACAGGCAAGACGCTTTTTTCTTTATGAATCACTGAAGTTGGTTTACAATAAAAACAAATCTATCGTATGACTTCATAGAACACTTTTAAAGTTTTGGTTGAACAACTCGTTTAAGAAGACGTTTTGTTAGATTTGTACAGAAACAAGTCACAAAACACAAAAGCTTTTCCAGATGTGCGGACACTTTTTAACTATACCTGGTCCTGCAGATCATAGTCATAGCTGTCGTGCAGAAGCAGGCTAAGGACATAACGGGTGTAGATCATTGCATCTATGCCACATTTCTCCAGCTCCTGACCCAGCCAGCTCTGCACTGGCCCTAGTGACTGCAGTGAGGACATCTCGGAGGACGACACAGGGCCTGACAAAGGGAAGGCCCGCGAGACTCTTTCAGGAGCAGGGCCGTCTGACTCTCCACTCATTGGACGCATGAGACTAGGTTGGAGCCATTCTCAAATGCAGATACATGTTCCCAGGTGGACATGAAAGTGCGAGAGGGAGCGGTATGAATGGGAGAGAGCTGATATTATAGTAGGAGAGGAAGGACTCAATCCAGCAGGACAAACACAGGAAGGTCTACATGAAGAGTCATGTAGAATCCTCTGTATATTCGTATTGCTGTAAGCAAATGGTGGCTCTAATCTTCAGGCATGGCTTTGACCACTGGAAGCTAGCAGCTTACTGAATAGGCTACTTTCACTCATAAGGGTTCATCTTGGAGGACAGCTGGTTCCAGGCTCAACCTGAGAAAGAAAGAGAGAGAGAAACAAAACAAAAACACTTAGTTTCTAGGGCCCAATGAAATCAGTTTTATTTTTTCCCAAATTCCGTTTTATTTTTTCCAAATTCCATTTTTTTCTATTTTAATTTTTCTGGATTCCATTTCCCCCCCCCATTTTTATTTTTCTGGACTCCATTTTAATTGTTAAATTAAAGTTTATCAAAAAGCATGTCTTGAAATCATGAAACTTACAATTTAACAGCAATTTACTAAAAGTTTAACAAAAAATTACATATTTAGGGCCCTACGAAATACATTTTATTTTACTTTTTTTTTCTGGTAATCAAATGAAGGCATAAAACATTAAATTTTTCTTTAAAATTACTTTCATTAAAATTATTTCCATTAATCCAATGAAAATAAAACCTTTTCAATTTTTTGGGGCAAACAAAGTGCTGCACAACAGGTGTACTGTTAAAACATGGAAGAAAAATTTTGATTATTCTTTAAAAAAATAAAGCTTGAATAATAATTCTATTATTAGCAGTAGCAGTATTTAACCAGACTTTTATTTTGACAGGTTGCCGTGAAGAGTTTTGTTTGTGTGTATATGACGCAACATGTTTTCAGGTATATGATGACAGTTTTTCTAAAATGAAACTGTCAAATGCTCATGAAGTGACTCTCAGAGCAGTTCTGGAGATGTTGTTCATGTATTTATGTCCTCATTTAGTGAGAGGGCATATGATGAAAACACTGCGAGCGGCATGTGTGCTTCAGTATGAGTGGTAAACAAAACCATGTGTCTGCTCCATTCATTCACACAGAGACACTCAGAATATGCAGGATTTAGGGCTGCACGATCAATCGAATACAATTGTCATGCGCATTTTGTTAGTAAAGCCGGTTCTGTAATCAGCAGTAAATCATCATTGCGTGCTTTCAGATGGAGCAGCATTTACTACACAGAGTAACTTTCACCGACAAGTTACGCAAAAAAAAAACAAAAAAAAAGCCCAGACGATTTTATTGCGCCATTATGAAATCGAAGAAATCGTTCGCGATAATGACAGCTGTTTGCATAGCTTCTCAGTGAACTACAGCTCTGTGTAGCAAATGCTGCTCCATATGAAAGCATGTGAAAATATCACATTTAATAACATATTTTTACTCCAAACTCACTTCATAACGTCAGTCGAGTGTTTGAAATAAATCCTTCTCTGAGATGACGTGGCTTCTTACACAGAATAAGGCACGCAACATATTTCATAGTATT